GTGAGGTGTGTGACCATTCCCGCCGCCTCGTGCCGCTCGCAGCCCCGCGCCGAGCGCCGTGGGAGAGAAAGACGACGGGCCAGCTGCGAGCCAGAGCAGGGCGGAAGTCGACTTGATGGGATATGACATCTCATTATGCTCAGCTCGAATTGTCTGCTTAAACAGAAAGTGGTGGGAGCTGAATAAGTCTTCGTGAATATTGTCATAGCTAACTAGCAAGTGTGGACCGGCTGTAAAATGTGATAACTTGTAAATGTTTTTAAATTTTTGCAAACACATGTATTACCGATTATAGTCGTTCCCTTAAAAAAGAATTGCTAAAATTTGATGAAAATCAGCTCAATTGGCTAAATACTCGAAGCGCAAATTACACATGAAATCATCTAAATCTACACCCATCAAACTTTACTTTGCACACCTGAGTGGGTTGTGCATATGTAGGGTCTAATGCTATCCATTCGGTCTGAAGGTGTTCTTTGATTGCATATTACATAACACATTACTATCACGTTATCATAAAAGCACGGGGTACTAGAGAATCACTGCACCACAGCGACTTCTGAACGGTGCATGTTGCGACGAGTGATGTTCTCCAACTATACAGTCGCGGTACCAACTGTGCGCTGACTATTTGCACTTCCTATTGGAACTAACATTATTTCCCTAAGGGCCCCGACCGAATAAAGAAAAGATCTCGCCAACTACCACGAGAAGAGCCCACCGCACTATTCCAAAGTCAATAGAGAGCCTGATATTATGCGGGTTTGGTTTGAACTTGTCTACGGCTTGTTGTGGCAATTAGCGCCGAACAGCAACGTTTACGTTAAAAGTAAAGTATAAAAATTTGACAAGCGTGATAAAGAAATCATTTAATCACGTAACCATTAGTGTCTAATAGAGGAACACAAATATTTTAACAGAGTTATGTTTCCATGTTTACCATTTCCTCAAACCTTTGAAGCAAATTTATTTTAATCAATGAAGGACATTAATCTTATTGTATCGAAAGCAATCTGCTCACATCAAAATGAATTGTTTATCAATTTTGTCCAAATATTTCCTTTTGTCGTGCTCAATATCATCCCATTTTCACGGAATCGTGACAGTAAGAGCCACACTAGTTATCTCACCAATTCAAACTTGGCGAAATGTCTTCATTAGAATCCATCCGCTCTCAGCACGAACATGAAACATTCTAACCCGGATCCGGTCCTGGCCCCAGACCCCCAGATTTCAGGCCGACGGCCCATGCCGAGTGTCTGGGCCCCATACTGGACAGCGTTTCCGTGTCCGTATCACTAGCTGGGACCGTTGCCGGTCTCTGCATCTGCAGAACTGCCGCTCATCGCTAGCCAGCCGTCCGCGCGCCGCTTCCCGCTGCCATAACTCAAAACCCACACTCGTAAAACGGCGCGCCGATGGATATATCGGTGTCACAGTCGGGAAAAGCTACCCCCTTCCTACTGCGCGCGCCGCGCTGACGTCACTGGCCGAGGCGGCTGTGGCGCAGCACCGGCGACCGTGGCGCAGCAGTGCGCATCAGAGGAGATGGTAATTACACTGTAGGGCAATCGGAGCTGTGATGACCGGCGGAAAATAGAGGGAACCCGTTAAATGACGTGTGTAGGATGTTTGTAGAGCAGATGGAGAGCGACGACGCGCCGTTATCTAAATAGAGAGGCGCAAATACGCCTGGTCTTCTGCTGCAATCATTTATCCATCTGCTAGTGCTATGGTGAAAGGGAAAAATATAGAAGAGAATAGAATAGCCAGGTGACTGAAATTTCCGTCGGTGAATGATATCTAAATTTGGTGAGACGTCTTGCGTGGTCGATTTCTAGGCCTCGGCCAGTGTTCAACAATGTCATTTCCGCTGCTGCGCTGCAGCTTTTATCTCTTGCCAATGAAAACCCGCCTTTTGCTGACGAAATCAAGGTTAAAAGACGTGATTCAAAGGCGTTAGCACCCATACGGATCGCGAGCAACAGGCTGCTGTTGCATCGTTATGATGCAGTTATGGCGCTATCATTTCAAGACACGCCACAGTTTGTTTTCTTTATGTCGTATTTCCAGCAGGACCTCGCGTTGTATCATCTGGTGTTCCAGCGGTAACTATTTTCTGGCAACCGAAGCAGCAAAAAAGTGAACAGATATGTATAGTGCTTCTGATCACCCTTCCTTCCTCTGCACCTAAATAAATCGCCCCTGGGTCGACTCTGAATAGCCAAGCCTGGCCTGGGCTGTAAGCTGATTCGTGATTAGCCCGCTCGCCACCAGTCACGGTCTTTTGCCCGCTCAACTGCTGGTCGAAAGTCAACGAGCAGCACACTTTTGTGGAGCTCGTGCCATACCATGCGTGAGTGTGTTGTAATTAAACGGTTACAATCTTTCGTGATAGGATGCCAGCTTTTAGGCGAATCGCCGATAGGTCACATCATACTAAGCTGCAGTTGGGCAGCTCGAGCCACGAAGACTATCTTTTTCCTTTCTTTTACGCCGATGCCCTTCGGCCTATAGCGGTGGCACACACACTCGTCTGTGCTCACTGCTCATGGGCCGCATCGCTAACATATGCTCAAACACGGACGCGGTCTCAACATCTGCGAACTGGAGCCTATTTGTGGTCTGCCTGCGAGGAACATGTTTCTGGGGACGTGATGCTTTTGCCTGACTGATAGCTCTCCGCGTGTGGCGGGACAGCAATGGATGTCACCGTCAAATGAATTGCCGTGCTACGGTGCTGCGTCGGAAAGGATCGCTTAATGGGCGCATTCTGTCAAATAAATCGTCTGGAGAATTTCTGAGTTAAATAATATAAATAAACTTAACAATCTTAAGTGTCCAAACCACGCATGTTTGTAGCTACTTTTTACATCAAAGTCAAAGTTAAATGCACGACTATAGGAAAATAACGGAGAAAACTTTGAATAGTTAGATAGCTTTTCTCCCGTCCCATTAGTTCAGGTGGGAGGGTTGAGTTGGCGTCGAATTCCGTGCTGGCCAGATCCTAGCTCCGGCTCGAGACGACCCCTCACTATTTGCTCCTGTCAGGATTAGCTCGAGTTCAGTGGCAGAAAACCCGTTACAAGTCGGATGAATTCACTAATCAGGACGAACGGCAAGTATCCGGCTACGTGATTACCGTAAGCTTGGCTCTAAAGCATGACATCAGCTAATAATTTGCAAATGAAGCGGGCGTAAAAAACCGCGCCGCACGCTAGTCGAACAAGGATGCGTAAAAATCGACGGATAATTGTCTTATTTCATAAAAACACGTCTCATCCACTGCCAAAAGCATAATAACTGCGCGCTGCATTCGCATATAATGTAAATGAAACGGCATCAGTATTTGCGCGGCCATCACGCTGTGCGGTACAGCATGACTCAGGCGTTTGCCATTAGAGCGTCTATCGGCTGCAAAGTAGGAACAACTGAGCCATGCGGTGCAGCATTATTCAGGCGTCTAATACCAGAGACATCTATGGGGTGGGACAGAAACTAACGCGCCGGGCAGCCAGTGCGGTGCCCTTGCCTCCGCCACGGATCACCTAAAGCCTCTGCCTCTGCTAGCCTTCGAGGATGCCGGATAGACCAGTTACCACTGCTAATCGGTAACCACCACGTGGTGCGTAGCGGGAGAGTTACGTTTGGCGTTCAGTTGGCCGGTCGCGTTTGTCACGGTGTTGTGGTCAACAGGCGCGACAGACGAATTGGCCGAACTTGCAAAACTACCGGACGAGTTCAGTTTGGAGCGGCCCAGTGCATGAGAAAGATTAGAAGGACAGCATTCAATGCCGTCCAATACTGAACTGCAACTGAATAAGCGATGCATGTAAAACAAAGCTATTGGACCAAAAAAGTACAAAAATGTTAGTACAAAAACATTACGCAACATGAGTGATTGACTTTTTGGGCAGATAACTTCTAAAAAAGCACACTTATTCCAAATTCCGGGATGGGTGGACTTTAGCGTATTTCGTCTTTCGGTGGACTTGAAAACTACGCATGCTGGGAGGATGACTTTTAGATGGCAGCACACGTCAGGTAGGTAGCAAGAAAATATCAACTGGCCGCTGTCCTATGCCGGTTAGTTTTGATGTGGTAGCCGGTCGAATTTGGGTGCAAAAAAGCGTTTCGGTGGACTGTACTTTTAGGTGGACATATTTTTTTTTGTCTTGAGATAACGGTATAAGTGGACATTTTTTTTTTGCTTTGAAATGTAGTGCATAGGTGGACGTACATTTTTGTTTTTAAATTGCACTTTAAGTTGACATATTTTTTACGTGCTTTATTACAAGCGAGCCAGCGGAGCGAGCGAAGCAAGCTTTCGTAGAATGGCGGAAAATTCTGAGTACCTATGAGCAACTTGGCAATGTATTTCAATGCGTCAACGACCAACGTTGAAGTGTACTACACGTGCGCACGTGGAGGGTGCCGCTTCCAGATCTCAGGAACGGCTGGACCGATTGTGCTCAGATTTGATACACCGATAGCGACCGGTTGGCAGGGTGCCGTGCAAAAGTCAGTTGGAAATACCCCCACTCAGTTTCGCACTTGCAGGGCTCATCCTTTTGCTCGCTCGCGTATCGCCCCGAAAGGCGTCTTACTGGTTCATTAACCCGCTCGGCGTTTTCACGCCCCCCCCCCCCCAGGTTTTCGCTGACATCTCAAAAACGGTTTGGTACAGCTTATTATACGTCTTTTCCGTACAGGCTTTGAAAATTTTAGCTCCAGGTCATCAAAGGTCAGGTCACCAGGTCAAGTTAAGTGACCCAACCCCCGAAAATAAATTCAAACACGCGCCCTGACCATAAGATACACGGCCCCACGGCCCCAGAGTTGGGGGGGGGGCAAGCTGCCCCTACTGCCCCCTCCCCGGTTCCCGCGCCTATGTTTGAGGTCACATTATTCATCATTCGACGCGTCTTGATGAGAGAAATGCAATGGTGTTTGAAATGTAGACGGGTCCCGCCTCGCCAACCCGGCTCCGACACACAACCTTCACAGACGAGCTTGTATTCCACAACCGCCGCTCGCGCCGGCCAACCAGGACTCTCTGAACATGCGAGCGACAACAAACCGAAGAGACATCGGAAATTAAGGTACTAGGGCTGCAACTAAACAGAAAATAAAGGAACAGCGCCGTAAGTTATTATGACAATATAAAATAAATACTTAAGTGACGTGAATTAATCAGATATAAAATCGGACAAGTGACATCGCAGAAAACAATAAGAAACAGAAGAGAAGCCGGTACGAAATCAAACGGTGCGAATAAATCGACCGACTATACCCGACCCTCTTAACGAAAAGAAGCGAACATCGGCAACAAGCAACATTAAATTCGGAGATAGCACATATCAAAAGGCAGAAGGCGACGCAACACAACGGCGCGTGGCACTCCGTCCGAGCGCGGCACTCAGGCCACGGCAGTGAGCGGCACTCATGGCAGAGCGCAGCAATCACCACGCTGCGCGCGGCAGCCACCGTCCGAATACGGCACGCTCAACAGCGCGGCGCGCGGCACCCACCGCGTACGCAGCGCTCGGCAAAATCACTGCACAGTGCGCGGCGCCATCACTGCAGCGCACGGCATCGCGCAGGTCGCGGCACCCTCGCCGCGGCCACGATCACGGGACCACGGAGGGCCCAGCCACGGGAAGCACGGCCGCAGAGCACGACCGCAGAGCACGGCCGCAGAGCACGGCCGCTGGCAGCTCGGCCGCGGAGCTCAGCAGCGGGCAGCTTGGCCGCAGACGTCGCAACCGTGGAGCACGGCCGCGGACAGCACAGCCACGACAAAACTGTGAACAGAACGCATGAAAATAACCATGTCCTTTAGCACCGCTCAGCACTCCATTGAGACCACGCTGGACAGATTCGCCGATTTGAGGCGCTGGATGGCTGCATGCCATGTCGATCGGCGCGTTCCGTCAACAGAACAGCCAGACGGGCGTCCCCAACCAGCTTGCCACGACATTACTAAACAATTCGCCAGCAACGACCACAGCAAAATCGCAGTAAAAATTATCAGTTAGCAGCTGATCACGCGGCTCACATCACAAACGATGCACGATGAACACATATTTACAAAGACCTTAATTAGGGACAGAATCGGTTAGGCGGTCTCGACGCTCTCTCAGAGCACTGCAGGGCCGGCACCGGAGCTACTGACCTCTGTGCGTCGGTAGACACAGCAGCAGCTTGCCAGCCAGGAACCTCCCGGGCAGCGTCGACCACGCCAGACGGCGCAGGACTCGCCGGAGGAAACTCGTCGCCGGCGGGGTCGGCGGGAGCCGCGAATCGTTCGGCCCCCAATGGCGAGACCGCGACATGTACGAGTCGCCGCCCAGCGCCGCATACCGCGGCGGCGACGGAGACCGCGGACACGGCGGCTGTGCGCCATCGTCAGAGCCGGGCGACATCACTGCAGATCTGGGGACTGACGTGTCCGGGGCCGCGACTGGCGGCCCCGTCTGGGGTGCGCGTGGGCAACGACGGGCCGTATGGTTGCCCGTGTCAGTCATGAACACGTGACTCGGAGATAAGGTGAGGCGGGTATGGCGCTCAGCGCAGCCTTCGTCGGCTAAATGTGGACGCCATTCGACTACTGCGCCGCCATCGTCGGACTTACGCTGCGACACCCTGCTCGCCTGGGCCTACTTCCCTCCACTGGGACTGCTGGTGAAACAGCTAACCGGTGTTTAGTCAGTCAGTTCAGAGTCAGCCACTCGCCAAGGAGCTCTAACTCGCAACAACTACTCGCACTCCCATTACGAGAGGCGCAGTTCTGATTCGTGGTCGGTTCGTGGTCGTCAGGAATATCTACAAGCATCGTGCACGTGCGGCTCTTTTTCAGACGGCCAGTTCGTATATCGGAACTTAACGTTCAAAACAAGATATGTACTCCGTAACGGGAATGGTATATATGAACATCACAAATAGCACATAGCAATGCCAGTGACAAACATCTCTGGGCAAGCCGGTTTCGCGGAAACTCAAACCAGTGGCGGCATTCCGGTGACATCGCCGGACCTCGGTGCGGCAATGAACAATCAGTGACAATGGCCAACAATCAGTGACAATGGCCCGGCGCGGCCGTCCATTCGGCCAGCCACGCGGCTCCTCCCTACCTCCCTCAGATCGGCCGGCCTGGCCTGGTCCGGAGGGATGGGCGGGCGGCGCCCTCGGTCCACCTGTCCGTCACCGGAGCGTCAGGGCAGCGCGGCCAATTGAACGCTACGCCGGTGTCGCCGCGTTGGCCGAAAATCCATCACACTTGTGGCGTGTGCCAGTCGTCCGTAGCGGCGCGGCGGCCGACTCGCACGGCGGCGGCCGGGGCCGGCGGCGGCCCCGTCCGTTTAACGGAAAGTTACGCGAAACACTAATGCTAAAAACGGAGGAATCAGTGCAGAGCTTGCCATTCGCATTCTTGCACCACTGCTGGGTCAATGTGCATGCCTGTGAATCAAGAGATATAATATCAACGTTTGTTCCAGAACACATCTTTCCATTCATGTAGAACGGATCATAGAGGTCTTATATACATAGAGATGCCCTGACGCTTATTATCCTGCCGTTTCATTGGAGGAATTCAAGTTAGGGAATGTGAGCTGAAACATCGTGCGAGCTTGATTTCACGACTTTTAACTGACAAATTTAGCTTTACTTTGGATTTATTTCCCCGAAGGAGGTTTCCGAAAACGAAATAGGGTACGACTTTACTGAAATATTTTGACGACAGTGATGGTCGATGACCTTTGAACATCTCATTTTACTCGTTTTCTACCAAGGAGAATGCTGATACCATCGATCACGAGTGTAAAGCAGTCAGACGGCAGAAAATAAAGTGTTTCGACATTGGATGGGCATCTTCATGTAGATAAAATATCTATGGAACGAATGACTTAGAGATAATGCAGGCAATTACACCAGAACAAGAGACACAAAGTAAACAAGCTGATAATTATTCACTGGACCCACCAACGATAAATTCACAACCAGATTGACTAACCAGTCACACTAACGCCTTGACATACCTAGAATGTACTGTACATTGCAACCCGGGTCACATTTTGTTATACGATCTACAAGTTCCGATGATGAAGTTCGTTCAGCATGTGAATTCAACTACGCAATTTAACCCTCGCCCGCACATGCCACTTTCCCATCCTAGAACGCACATGGGGGGGGGGGGGGGTTGCCACCCCCGCGCCATTTCGTTCCTGCTGGAGATAGAGCTTCGCGGTAAAGACTAAAAAGATTTTTTTGGGAAGAGACGAATCCAATGATACACAGTTTTACCTTCTCAGGTCAGTCAGTGACCTTCCAGGTCAGGTCAAACAAAAAATGTTGCTGTTTGGGGTCACCGTTGGATATCAAGTGCGCTGCTTATCATATACCGATGACGCTGACGTATTGTGGTGCCAAGCCAGCAAGAACCTCTTTGTTACACTATCCGACTAGGTTTTGGCTGGCTGAGGCCATTTCAGGTCAAGTTAGGTCAAGGTCACTGATATGTGTTTGTATGTCTGTGGGTTTGTGTGTCTGTACAACCTAGGTCATCTAAAAACATTGCGTTTTAGGCAAGCTGAATTTACTTTTCGTGAAGTTCTTTGACTGTATTTTTGGTAAATGTTCGAGAGAAAACGTACTGTGCCGTGGAGGAGACGGCAGCGATCGGCGGGCTCAGCCGAGCCTCGCCGCCCACGTGGTGTACTGGGGCCCGCGTGGTCATCTGGGGCACATGTGTGCGATGACCGGCCCGACGCGCCGGGCCGGCCGCCGCCGGCCGGCTCGGCAGTTCGCGACGCGACGACGACGGCGACGCGGCTCCGCCGGCGCAACGGCGACGGCGTCGTACGATACGATTAACGTGCATTGTGTGGTGAATATTCAAGAAATAGACATTCACCAAAGAACTCTTTTGGTCCTCCAGTTAATGAAACGATTCGATCAGATACGCAATTATTAGTGAACTCGACGATTACACGAACACTTTGGTCTGCCGTGCTGGATCAGAGTGAACGATCACGATTCACACGAACATTTTGGTCCTCCGGGCCGGATGTATGTGAACTAGTGAGTGAATGGACGTACAGTCCGGACGCGAGTGCAGTGAAGGAGTGATGTCAGACGCAAAATCCGACGCGAAATCGAACGCCAGGTCGGACGCAAGGGCGGTCGCACAGTGTGACGCGAAATCTACGCGCAGCTCGCGGACATGCCATACCCGCAGCGAGACCTTCGGCAGCGCAGCGTCGTCCACCATCAGCGCAGCCCGCCGCCGAGCCGCGCTGAGCAAACTCGCAGCGGAGCAGGGCCAGCGAGCGGCCGCAGCAAAGGTGGAGCTGGCACGGCAAGAGGCGGAGACGCAGGCGGAGCGGGCGCGTCGCGAGGCGGAGACGCAGGCGGAGCGGGCACGGCAGGAGGCGGAGACGCAGGCGGAGCGGGCGCGGTAAGAGGCGGAACTGGCACGACAGCGGGCAGCTCTCGAAGCTCAACAGCTCGCCGACGAAGCGGAACGCCGTCAGCTGGAGCTGGAGCTGCTCGAGGAGGAGGAGTATGATCACCAGCCATCTGCCGTCGACCGTCAGGCTCTAGCTCGGCCTGCTGCCGCAGCTCCAAGTGAGCCAGCCGCCCAGCTGCGTGAGCCGCTGCAGCCGGGTGACAGGTCCTCACGCACCCGGGACTGGGTGGAGCAGTCCTCCCAGTACGGACAACTGGTGAGCGCGCAGCCATACGACGACCGTCACCAGCAGGAAGCACGACGTCCGCTACAGCCCGTGAGACAGCAAACGACTCCACAGCTGCCTCGAGTGACCCTGGATAAGTTCAGCGGCTCCGCTCTGGAATGGCCGAGATGGATCGCGCTGTTCAGGGCTCTAGTGCACGATCGAGACGACCTGACTGACGTCGAGCGCCTGACCTATCTCCAGGCTCATCTCACCGGGCCGGCCAAGGAATCAGTGCGCGGTATGTTGTGCGACTCTTCTCTGTACGGTGAGGCTATGCGTGAGCTAGAGGAGGAGTTCGGTGACCCTGCACGGGTCATTCACGCGACGATGAAAAAACTGCTCGATTCGCGGCCGGTGAAAGATGGTGATATGTCGGCTGTGACAGAGCTGTCACGTGACCTTCGCACCGCGGTTCGTGTGCTACAGTGCCTTCACTACGACGCGGACATCTCGGCTGCCACCAATGTAACAGCCGTGATCTCCAAGCTTCCTGCTGCGCTGGCTTTGAAATGGGGCGGCACTCTGTGCAAACGACTCGTCCGCCCACGCTCCCCGACCTGGACAGCTGGCTGCGCGGCTACGTGGCTGCTGGGCGTGCGTTCCGACCCTGACGGGCCACCAGCAATCCAAGCGCCGAGGTAAACAGTGGGGAGAGCCGGCAGCGGCGTGTGTTTACGCGACTGCGCTAGCGCCGGCCGCGCCACGAGAGGTCGTAAAACAGAAATTAGTGCAATAAAGGCAGCGCCGGTCGCGAGTGAGGAACGCATGTGTATTCTGTCAGGGGACACACGTCGTAGAGCGCTGTGACAGGTTCTACAGCTGACAGCGAGCGAGGAGCAGAGGTTGCCGGTTGTAAACGGACTCTGCTTCAAT